TTGAATTGAAGGTGTGAGACGGGGAGGGTTTTGTTCTGCCCCTGCGGACCCTTTGCCCCTCCCGTCAGCATCAGACTCACCATGCTGGTCACGGTGCTGCCCGGCGAGCTGCTGCTGGCGCGGTGCACACCGGGCCCTGGGGATCGGGTCATCCTGGGCTGCCTGCAGAGCCAGAGGAGAGACGAACCGTCAACCGAAAGTCCCGCACACGCGCCGAAGTGTGGTCACTCGAGCTCAAACAACCACCTCGGGGCACAGAACCGCAACGAGCAGGAGAGAAGTGGGAGAGGTGAACAAGCAGCCTGCTGCTCCCATTGCAGTACCTGGGAGAGCTCAGGAAGTGGCTGGGCAAGATCCTGGGATCAATTAACTGATCATGACCAAAGCTCATTAACTGTAACCTTTCTGTTGTTACTGCTCCTTTGTTATGGAATGCTCTTCTTGAAACTCTACAAGAGAGATTCTCCAGCTTTTCACACCCAAACTCAAAACCCACCTTTTTACCTGGGACTGCATCCGATTCCCCTGTGTGAACCCATACATTCTTGATTTCTCTCTTCCAATCTATTGTACTTTCCCCCCCCCATCTTTTTATCATTATGTACAGCATTATTGGGTTTGGAAAAGGCGCTTTATAAGGCCTGCAGCATCTACAACCGGCTCAACCATCACTTGGGAAAAGGTTCTCTCTCTGGAAGAGGCCTGCTGTACTCAAGGAAGCGCTCCCTGGCGCCGAGGGCTGGCCCGGCCCAGCACACGGATGCCCAAGGCTGGCGCAGTACCTGCTGCGGTAGGACTCTCGGCACTTGTCCTGCGGTAACTTCCCGAATCCCTGCTGGTACAGCTGCCGCGCCTGGAGAGCCAGGTCCTGCTGGTACGCCAGAGCCTCCAGCGTCGCCTGGTCCAGCCCCAGCGAGCTCATCTGTGAGGGAACAGGCCCACGCAGCACGAGCGTCAGCGCACAGCCCTCCGATCCACCTGCGCCGCTCTCGGAATGGGCTGCACCCCCCACCCCCACCCGAGGAGCACCTCGCAGCCGCCAGCTACCCCTCTTTTATTAGATAGAGCAGACGAACGTATCGGGGATTCCTGGTGCTTGTGGGCCAAGACCCCAAGGACTTCTGGGTGACCAGCCGAGAAGCAGCTGCCGAGCCGCCCAGAACCCCACAGGGCCCGCGGGTGTGATGATCGAGGAGGAGAGGGGTGTCTGACCTGCTGGGGAGCCCTGGGGCTCAGGGGTCTGTGCACCTCCGGGAACGAGTCCGCCAGCAGGGGCTGTGCTCCGGCCGGGAATCCTGGAACGTCAAAACACAGCCAAGGGTGAAAAGCCCGCCTTCCCACCAACAACGCCACGCATTACTAAAGCTGGAGCTGGATCCTCATCACTGCTAGCTTTACAGAACTCCGGCACCCTGGGACACGGGTTCGAGCTCCTCCTAGACCTGCGGAGAAGCAGGGCCCCCTGCTGGCTCCTCGCTCAGACGGGGACATACGCCAACCGATCCCGACGGTTCCTGGCCTCCGGAGCTGCCGGAGATCCGCTGGAGCGCTCACCTGCCGGGGGCTGCACGCGCAGGGGGAAGTAGTCCGGGGACGGGGCGCCCGGGCGGAACAGGGGCGGGGAGGGGCCCCGCTGCCCCAGCAAGCCGCCCAGGAGACTCGGGGAGCCAGGTGGCGGGGGCACCTGGGGGCCCAGGATCTCCTGGAGAGAGAGGGAGGACACAGACCCAAATCAACAGGGAAAGACAATGAAGGATTAACAGTCCAGTGATGGAACAGTGTTTCCCAGAGATGGAAGATAAAACAAAGTAACACAGACAAAGGGAGCAGCTAAAGCCAATGATGACAGACGGGCCATGAAAAGGAAGATGGATGCAATGTAGGCACACTATCTCACTTTTGTTAATTATAAAGGCATTTTAATGACAAAACAGGCTTTTAATGAAAATAATGGTGTCTTTCCTGGAGTAAGAAAACCAGCGTAGCGCCAGTTCCCCCAGACTGACCTGCAGGATGTTCTTCTGGGGCGGCAGCTCTGTGGAGGGGACGAACTGGCTGTCCAGGGTTTGCTGGAACGGAGGGGTGAGGGGAAATTAAACAAAAAGGGCGCGTAATCCAGTCTCCCAGCACGCCAGCGCAGACGCCAGCGCAGACGCCTCGCCGGGGCTGAGCCACGACGGGGAGCCAGACACCGCGCAGACAGCAGGACTGCAGCCGCAAGCGCAGGGCCCTCTAAACCGCACCGCGGAGACGCCCGCCTCACACAAGTCTGCTCAGACTTATCAGGAAACGACAACGCTTAAGAAAGACTCTCGCGCTGAAAATCTGTTAAATCCCCATCACAGTTTGGGAGGAAGTGTGTGTGCAGTTTCTCTACACTGGAAATGCCAGAGGAAGTACAAAGTTATGCCCACCACTTCGTTACAGCGAGAGAACATCTTGGGAACACGATTCCCACTGCACAGCACTTGGGTCACACCAGGATCTCGGGCATTTCAAGCCAATGAGAAGATTGTGACACACAGAGACCAAGAAAACGATGCCTAAAGCCCACAATTTAAATCCGAAGCAAAGCAGCACTTCAGTCTGAACAACTCCCCAGCAAAAAACTGCTTCTCCAACCCTGATCCGGCCTCTTTTTAATGAATCTTAGAACTGTGCCCCGGTTTGAAGGCTCCGTTGTTCCTGCTGTGCAGTAGGATATAATTAAATCGTTCCTCATCTGCAAAAGGGATGAAACCAGTTTGTTAAATGCGACTCCCCATTATTTTGCAAACAAGGGACAACTTAACTTAAAAAGAGCTCAGGCCTGAATGACCATGTGTCCACCACTGGTGGTCAGGAGGACCTCATCCAGCCTTTTCTTGAAAGAAGCCAGGGTGTCCGCTCCATCATGGCTGGGTAGCTTGTTCCACACTCCCACCACCCTTTGCACAAGAAGTGCAGCAGTGTACATGCAAGCAAGCCTGCGGTCTTGACCTACTTTTACTACGTTACCTGAGAATACTGTCCCACCGTGCCTCAGCGCTTCAGGCACAAAAGCCACATGCACACCACAACGCCCGCGGGCTAGGCCGGTGGAGAGGTGCGGAGACTTACGTTGGCTTTGGGTTGGGTGGGCAGCGTGCCACTTGCCTTCATGGTGCTGACCAGCTTGTTGAAAGCCGACATGTCGCCATCCTTGGGCCGCGCGGGCCCGGGTCGGGGCCCGGAGCTGGTGCCGCCCGCGAGCGCCTCTTCCAGGTGCTCGGCCATGAAGGGCGTCCCGGCCCCCGGCCTCTCGCCCTCCACCTTCAGGCCCTTCAGGCCCACCTCCACCTCCTCCAGAGACAGCACCACGCCAGAGTGAGCTGGGGGCGACAGGGACAGGCAGCGGCCTTACAGCAGGCTGAACGCACCGAGCAGAGCAGAGAGGCTTGTGGGCACAACCATGGAGGGATGAGTGAAACATCCGTCCAATCCCTTCTTCCAGTTCTGGGTCACCGAGGAGCTGGAGCCTATCCCAGCAAGCAACAGGCACATGGCAGGGCACACCCTGGACAGGACACCAGTCCATTGCAGGGCAGAGACAGACACCAGGGCCACTTTTTCCCAGAATGGTTCTCTGGTGGGAGGACACCAGAACACCCCGAGGAAACCCTTACAAACACGGGGAGAACACAAAAACTCCACAGACAGCACCCCAGAAACTGAACCCAGGGCTCTAGTGGTGTGAGGCAGCAGTGCTCAACACCGTGCCTCTGTGCCACCCATCAGTAAAACAGATCTTAACCAATCAAAGGGCTAGAAAGATACATTTGTTTCAGGAAACCGGATGAACAGAACAGTGACAATGCTGTGTTCCCATCCAGACTCACAGCTCTCCCGTAGCCTCTCCTTGTTGGCGGACAGGCTGGACAGCAGGGGCTTCAGGTCGATCCTGGCCTTCTGCAGCAGCTCCAGGATATCCACCTTGTCCTTCTCCTTCTTCTCCTCCGCCGACTGGATGGGGGCGAAGTAGTGGGCCAGGCTGGGGGAGATGCACCGCTGCTCCAGACCTGCCGCAGGCAGACACAGGCGCCCTTCAGACACCCTGCCACCAAAGCAGGTGGCATCTTCCCTCTGCGCACAACAGAGCAGGACCCCCAGGATCCCCCCCTTCGGCCCTGCCACGCCACCCATCCCGCTTCCCTGCCACGCCGCTTACTCCTCCATCCGCTGCCTTCCTACACTACAGACGCCAACTCCACGTTACCTTCACTGCATCCAGGAGCTGCCCTGGACAAAGCGGAGCCTCGCCCCGGCCAGCACCACGCAGAAACGGCAAAGCCTCACCTGCCAGCCTCTCCAGCTCCTCGTGCGGGGTGGAGCGCAGGCTGCTGGACCGGCTGCCGGACGGGCTGACGTTACTGGAGAACCAGCGGCTGAACCGGCTGGCCAGCACCGGCCGTTCCCCCAGCACGTCCTCGATCATCTTCGGGAGGGAGACGAAAGAAAACGGTCAACAAAAACCAGGCAGCTGGGCCTCGGCAGGAAAGTGTCCAAAGAGCAGAAGGATAAGGCACTTACGTGAACAGAAAACCAAGTCTTCTGCCCGACAGGAGAGGGTTGGGGGTGGGGAGAGGGGAAGGGGAATTCTAACACCCCGTCTGACAGTTTGAAACCTTGTCAACTGGAGCCAAGAGACGAGCCTCAGCGACACACAGAACAGCAGTAAGACACCAGCACAGCACTCGTTTCAACACGGCCTCACCGGGCTGAATTGCCCCCAGCTCTGATCTCCGACCCCGAACGTGGGGCCTCATCACACAAACAGCGGAGACGCGTGCCGCATGCGAACGGACCAACAACGCGCCCTGCCGTGAGGGAGACCCGACAGCGGTCCCGAGGTCATGTGGGTCAGCTGAGATCAAGAGCACAAGAACGGGTAAAGGTGAGAGGAGGCTGCTCAGGCCAGCCAGCTAGTCTGGAGCGGATCTGAGAATTTCATCCGGTTGTTTAATCGGCAGCTTCAGGAAAGAAGAGGAGGGTTAAGCCACTCTGGGACCTGGAGAAACATCAGAAAGGGACTCCTGGCTGCTGCCACCGGTTTCTACTCGGTCATCTCTCCAGGAACAGTTCTGCAGCTCTACAACCAGAGGTTAACGACCTCCATGTAGATAAATGCAGCTAACAGCACAGCTCCTGTGCCCCAGAGCGACACTATTAAACTGAGCACCAAGTACCGCAAAAACACATGGAACTGACCCCTTATCCTACACCCACCCTGCATCAGGCCCTTGCTGCCCCTTGGGAAAACGAACAGGTGCAGTCGTGCTTGGGCCTGCACTGTCCTGTGCTCAGTGTTCTGGATCCAGGGCTGCTCATTTTAATGTGGCAGGGCTCTGTGCAATGTCCACCCATTAAACCAGAGGACAGACAGTACAGTTACACACAGTCAACGCAGTTCACCCATGACGGCATCTCTAGAAGGGTCTTGCATTTCACACAGAGGGAGAACATGGCGTTACATCAGGACGGATGAATCATTTGGGGAAAAAAAAACACATAACACCAGGCCTAACCAGAGCCACGAGCACACGCGGAGCGGCGGTAACCAGTGATGGGCATAAATTTGTCAGAAAAGGCAAAATGCAACAGCCACTGCCCACCCCCATAAATAAAACGGACGACCCGAGTCCCACCACCCACCCCCAGAACTTCCCTTCCCACGAGGGGAACTGAACAAGCTGCAGTCCTGCTGCGCTCAGGAACCAACGCGCTCCTGGAGCGTCTCTGGGCCTTACGCATACTCTGGGAAAAGTGCCGCCATTTGAGAACATCGCAGGAGTCGAGATTGCCCAACGGAAGGAGGGCAGACAGGCGTGAAGGTGAGCGCCCCCTGCACAGCAGCCCCGGCCACACCGGGCCCCAACACAAGCTGCAGCCACAGTCGCAGGTGTGAAGAGCCACAGGCACGTGATCAGCGGTCACGAGCGAGCACCAACTGCTGGGCAGGGGGCCAGCGCCACCAGGGTGACCCAGGGTGAGCGGCACCGTCCCATGATCCCCCACAACCCAGTGACCACCCAGAGGCCCCGCAAACACCCCGACGTGCAGCCCTGCTGCGGCTGTGAGCCCCCCCCACTGTCCCAGGACAGCAGAGTCCTGTGCGGAAGTCTTGGCGTCCCAGCCACTGAACAGCTGCTGAGCAGACCTCCACACAGGCAGGAGGGAGACCCCAACCCCCCGTCTGAGCAGAGCAGGAGAGAGTCAGACTTGAAGGCGATTTAATGAGCCTTCCTTTAGAGGTAGCTCACAAGGAAATGGACAGTGAAGGAAGACCAGCTTCACAGATGGAGAAAGGCTAATTCATGCCTCTGTTTTTTAAAGTTTCTAAAAAAAAAACGAAAAGACGGAGTAGTTCTCCCAGACCAGCGTCTCTGGACCGATTAGACTGTACCAGACAGTCCTGCAGGGTCCATATGCGTTTAGTCTCCCCTTTCAGCACACCTGCTGCTGGAGAAATCTGTGCGTTACCCCTCAGCAGCTGGGGGGTCCCACCCTGGCTGACCAGACACAGCGGCAGCCCCGCGACCCCAGCATGCAGTGCTCCCCCACCCCCTTACCGAGGCCAGGCCCGGCACGGTGTTCTCCGGGTCGAAGAACTCGTTGAAGTCGAAGTCGCCGGGGCCGGGCTCCGCCAGAACCACGCGGCGCGGGACTTCCTGGTCCGCCGCCAGGTCCACACAGACCTCCGCCTCGGGCTCCTCCGCCAGCCCGCCGTTGCACTCCACCGCTGGGGAGACGGGGACAGGCGCAGGCTGAGCCCCAGGGCCGCTGCAGCAGGCCAGCGGCGCCCCCTCAGGGACCGCCACTTTCAGCTCAAGTACTACACACTTGAGTATAAAACATTACACTCAAGACAAATACTGAACACATACAGTGGGGTGAAAGAGTAAGTGACAGGAAAAGCTTGGTCTTTTTTTTATATTTTTGGACAAAAGGATATTTGACCAGCATTTCAACAATAAAGGTGATCTAATCTTAAAACATAACACTGAAAAGACACATTTTGCACCCATTTGTACTATTTAAAAACCAACAGAAATGCAATTTCCTTGTGTGGAAAAAAAAGTTACACACCCCGACCTTTATCATCGCATCAAATGCCTAAAATTAGGATCAGGTGCAAATGATTAGAACATTAGAGTAACGTGGAGGGCACTGCCTTATATAAACATCAGAAACCTGTGGTCTGGTTTGGTCTTTGCAATGGAGGTGCGTGGCTACATCATGCCAAGATCAAAAGAGCTCTCCGAGGTCCTCAAAAGAAAGATTGCCGATGCCTATGAGTCTGGGAAGGGTTTAAAAGCCATTTCCCAGCAGTTTGCAGTCAATCACTTCACTGCCTGAACGATCTACAAATGGAGGAACTCTTGAACCACTGGCAAGCTATCCAGGCCAGGTAGTCCCACCAAATTCACCTGCAGAGCTGACCGAAAGATCCTGCAGGAAGCCTCCAAGAACCCCAGGATAACAGCAAGGGATTTACAGGCAAGTCTTGCCTCAGTCAACTGCACAACTTTGCTCTACACGCGAGGTCAAGAAGGAAGAAGCCTCTGCTCTCAAAAAAAGAATATATATATGCACTGACGTTTGCCAGACAACACCTAGGTGAAGATCAGGACTATTGGAACAATGTGCTCTGGACAGATGAGACAAAGGTAGAGCTGTTTGGCCACAATGCCAGATGTCATGCTCGGCAAAAACCAAAAACTGCCTTTGACTAAAAGAACGTCATACCAACTGTAAAGCATGGTGGTGGAAGCATTATGGTTTGGGGCTGCTTTCCTGCCTCAGGGCCTGGCCAGCTTGCCATCATAGAGTCAACCATGAATTCCACATTGTACCGGAGAGTAATTAAGTTCACTTTTATTAGCCCTATACAATTCCTTGAATAAGGAACGCGTCTTTTCACAGACCCCAGCTTGCTCCCCATGAGATACACAGACAGGGAGAGAGAAGCTTGGGGTCAGAGGGCAGGGTCAGAGCGCAGGGTCAGCCATTGTACAGCGCCCCTGGAGCAGTCGGGGAGAAGGGCCTTGCTCAGGGGCCCAACAGAGTAGGATTCCTCTGCCGGCTGCGGGATTCGAACCAGCAACCTCCCAGCCACAGATCCTGCACTGCCCAACTTTTCTCCTACTTGAGGAGCATTTGAGGCCATCTGTCAAAAAGCTGAAGCTGAACCGTAAGTGGACCTTGCAACAAGACAATGACCCAAAACACTCAAGCAAAACCACAAAAGAATGGCCAAGTCAAAGCCGTAATCTTAACCCCACAGAAATGCTTGGGGGGGACTTGAAACTGGCAGTACATGCAAGAAAGCCCTCAAACATCACTCAGTTCAAGGAGCTCTGTAAGGAGGAGTGGGCAAAAATGTCTTCAAGTCGGTGTAGGAGACTGATGGACAAATACAAAAAACACCTACAAAAAGTGATTCCAGCCAAAGGGGGCAAAACCAGCTATTGAAGCCAGGGGGCGTACTTACTTTTTCCATAGCAGACAACTGCATTTCTGACTTCTGTTGAATAAATGATTGCAAGGAATAATTTTCATCGTTACCTGTTAAATTAGACCACCTTTATCTATCAATATCGTCGAAATGAAGATCAAATATCCACACGTGCAAATATGTTGAAAAACACATGGGGCGTACTTACTTTTTCACGGCACTGTAAATCCTGAGATATAAAGCAGTTGCACAGAAAGTAGTTGACATATTAAGGTGGTGGGGGGGTTGCGCTGTCTTGAGCTGTTTCAGAACAAGCCCCCCGCCCCGCCCTGGTACTTGCCTTCCTTGACGGACTCCGAGCGCTTCCTGGAGCGCTTGCTCCGCCTCTTCTCCTCCTCCAGTACCTTGTCGTCGAACCCGATGAGCTCGATGGTCTCGGACTGGCTCGTGGGGCCCGCCGAAAACCACTCGGGCTCCTCCTCGGTGTACGAGTCGTTTCGTCTCCTCTCGCTGAAGACCCGCTTGTCACCGAAATCCCTCTGGGCAGGCAGAGACAGGACACCGCCGGAGCGTGAGACTCTCTGCGACCGTACCTCTGTCCTCTCCCCCACTGGGATTAGCTCAGGAAGGGGAGAAGATCGCGGTGGTGGTCTCTCGCCGCCTGGATGAGCCTCCTTACAGTACAGCCTGGGGGGCGGGTCTCTCAAGATCTGGGCAAGACTGTGCCACGTCAAGACGCACGTCACTGCAGCTGGGAGAACTGTGGTCACACTGGGGTGGGGAGCTCAGCTGCTGTACCGCTGCTGGACTGCACGGCCCACTCACACCAGCACACCACTGAGTGACAGGAGAGCACAGCGTGCCTGAGCCTCAGACCAGACTCCCAGGGGGCAGCAGTGTCACTCGAGGAACATGTTTCCAGCTTCCACCCATCCATCTCCTAACCACTTCTTCCAATTCCGGGTCGCGGCAGAGCCGGAGCCTGTCCCGGCAAGCAACGACACAAAGCAGGGCACACCGTGGGAGGGACGCCAGTCCATCACGGGGCACACGCGGACTCGCACAGGGGCGGGCGGTCCCCGAGGCTATTTAAACCACGGTATGTTTTTGGACTGTGGGAGTACACCCCTACAAACACGGGGAGAGCATGCACACCCCCCAGGAAGGATGCCAGGGCCCAGCCCCGTGAGGCCGCAGTGCCACCCCCGTTCCCAGTTCGCCTAGTCACAACGAGACTCGGCCCGCCGGAGCAGAGGGGGCGCTGCGCTCACCCTGAATCTCTTGTCCTTGAAGTCCCTCTCCCGGGCCTCCTTCTCGCCGCGCGCCTCCCGCTCGAAGCCGCGCGCCGCCATGATGCGGCCGCTGCCGATGCGCCGCGCCGCCCCCAGCCGCAGGCTCTCGTTCTCCTTGTTCTCCAGGGGGGAGACGGCCCGCCGCGCCTGGGGCCCCAGCGCCGCCGTGCCCTGGCAGCCCCCGCCGAAGCTGCGCCTCTGCGGGCTGAGCACCACATCCAGGTCCTCCTCCTTCAGCCTGTCCCGGGGATCTGCAGCACACGGGGGGGGTGAGGAGAGACGACTCGGGGGGGGAGAAGAGGAAACCGTCCATCTCTCACACACACATACACACACCCACCCACCCTCGGGGCTCCTCCCTCACCTGCCATCCTGCGCTTCAGGGGGACCCGGTCGTCTCCGGGGTAATCCTTCCTGTACCCCTCAACCGGCGAGCTGCGCTCCGAGCTGGGGTACAGGGATGCATGCCACTTTTCGGGGTCCCACACGCCATCGCTAGCACGGGAAGGAAAAAGGGAGGGTTTCGAGCTCGTTTTGGCCAGCCCAGAGGTGCGCATCCTCGGCTCTTAATGTAACCGCTCACCGGGGCGGAACAAACGGACCCAGAACCGTCGCTGCAAGTCACAGATCTAGTGCTGGGAGGCAGGCTCCTGTTTCTGCCCCCAGTAAACCACGGGTCTAACTGTTAGACTACCCAGACCAGCCCGCAGGCAGCTGAGGACGGACGGACGGACGGCGAGGGGCAGTACCTGTCGTACTTCTCCAGGAGGCATTCAGGTCTCTCGTTGGAGCAGGGATACTCCTTCATCTCCAAGAGCTCCTCCTGCGACAGCAGAGCCAGAGCGCCTTACAATTCCGATTTAACACAAATACACTTTTACCCAGGTTCCTGTACTAGTCCGGCTTGTGACGGCACCCTTGGGGACATGAGATCTGATCAAAACAACTCCAACTTGAAGACCCCTTTTGAATAAGCCGCAACACCTAAGCACAAGTCAATGCTTGAGCTCAGGTTGAAGTAAAGAATGAATTGAATTCGGACACGAACCAAGTTCATGCCAGCAAGGGTGCGATAGTTTTTGACTAAATGAATGACACGGACCTGCAGCCCGGGCCCGTTTACTGGAGCAACACCCGCTCAGTGTACAGTGGGCCCACAAGCCCGAGCTCAGAGGGACAGTTTCTTCCCCGAACAGCCATCTCGTCGAGCCCGGGGGCAGCTTTCGAACCCCGCCCGAGGCAGGCGGCCGCCCCAAGGAGAGCCAGACGAGAGAACGTTTTGAGAAGCTG